CAGTACCAAAAATTGCACACAGACTTTTAAGCAAAATAATTCTAATCACAAAATAGAGATACAGAAATTTAATTTCACTTTATTGACATGCCATTGAGGATATCCAAAGAGGAATAGAGCATTAATTAAGAAGTACAGTTTTACAGCTGTGAAACTTCAGAATAGCAAAGAAACAAAGGAGAAATACAGAAAGGTTTTGGCCTGGGTATTTGATTATTTGTGGACCCTAAAATAAAGACAAATAAGAAAACTATCTGTGTTTTCCCGGTGTGTTTTCATTACGTTTCAACATTTTTAATTTTACTTTAGCATTTATTTATTTGTTAACACAAATCCAAAATGGGAAATAAAAAAAAAGGCTTTTGTTGTAGCACTGCTCTTGTTGTAGAAACAGTAGAGGAATGAGATGCATTGTACCTCTTTTGGTGGGATTAGTTAAATCAACATTTCTGTCCAGTATTATTGATACGATTAAAAATATTCACAGAAATAAAGGGTGGAAATATAACAACAAACAAATGATTATTGAATAATAATTATAATAAATAATAATCAATATTGAAAACTGAAAAATAACTGAGAAAAAACTAAAGAACAGCAGGATTTTTATTTTTTCCCATTGAATATGTTTACAAATTAATGTCTTACATTGCAACCCTGTTGGGAACAAGCGGTATAAAAAAGGATAATTTCTTGTACATTTTTTTAAAATGTTGCCATTTATGTATTTGATTTGATTTGTTTATCGTCATTATTTTTTATTTTGCTCTTTAAATGCAATTTCTCATTATATTTTCGTATCCAGATTAGTTGAGTTGGAAGGCAGAGTAAATTCATTTGATTGAGTTCCTTGAATTGTTCCACTCCTCTTAAGTAACTGCCATATTAGGAAACTGCTTCTTCTGCTCATTGCCCTAATTCATACATTTGTTGCAAGAATATAGTTCTAATAGCTGAATATACTGTTTATTATGACTATTCCTAGACTGGCTCTAACTGTGCCATCAGGTGTACTTGCAAATCCTGTCACATTAACAGAGAATTCCCCTGCAGTGCAAGATTTTGATAAAGAACATGTGATATGAGTGAATATTACATTTTCAGGGTCTATATTATGTAAGTTATCGGATTATCAGTTAAGACACTTGTTGTATTACTGCCTTGTTTCCCTATTCTCTTTTTGAGGATATAGCTCTTTATTACGCCGACTCAGCTTTGAAAATGTAGGCATAAACCAATATTTTAAACTAAAAGGTAAGTTTAAAAAACAGTTGTATAATACTACATTACACATTTTAAGTAACTGGTGAAACACACATGTGCCAGAAATGATGTAAAGTCACTGTAATGATTTCATGAGTCCCTTGGCTCCTTTTAATGTCCACTTCCACTATAATATTGTGTTTGTTTTTGGTACACAGTGCCTTTGTGTACCAATTATTAAGCTTAAACAAAGGGGGAAAATAAACTAATCTCTAATTAAACTCCTCTGACAAAATGCTTAATGTTTTCTAACTTAATTAGTGCCCATGGGAAGGCCACTTTTCTATGTAAATGGTCAACAGGTCATTATCGTCATCGTCCCTCATGAGCAATTAAACACACTTTACTATATTCTACCCTAGAGGACCGTCCTGGGTAACCAAGACAGAGAAGTTATACAAGTTACTTTAACGTTTTGTGCACTGTACTTGGTACTATATTGACGTCCATACCTCAATTCATTTGCAGGAAGTCTTTCACAGTTCGTGTAACAACAAAGTGACATGCAGTGACAAATTGGCAAACTACATACAGTTCTCGCAGGAGTGACCTTTGCTTTCTCATTGTGATAATTGTCACAATGCAATGTAGTCATAGTTTAACTAAGACTGACATATTCATTACAGGCAGAAAAATGTAAAGTTTCAACTATTAGGTTTGGAATAAAAAAATCTAAGAAGTAGGTCAGTGCATTGTGATGGAAAAAAATAAACTAATCCATATCCAACCCTGATTTCCCTGAGAAGGAAAGTTGTCAATCTAGCCGTTTTCTTGTATTACTACAATTTGGACTTGAAGGGGCCTGGAGCACTAGAAAAAAGGGAAAATGAAACGAATAAGCAGCACGCTGATCTTAATGTCAAAATGGGAAACACGTGCAGAAACACGTGCAAAAAATAAACAGAGTAAATCTGAAGATTTGTCACTGAATCTTTACATAGGAGTTAGAAATGGTCATGTGTAATTTATATAACAGCTGAATTGCAGTGTTATATTTCATAAGTGCAAAACCGACATCTGAAACACATTTAAAGACAAGAAAGAAGAATTCTTTTGACAAAGGTCAAAGGTAAATCAGTAAAAATACTGTTCTGACCTGCTGAATGAAGGTACCAGAAGATTCCGAGAAACTGGGCAAATCTGTTAGAAGAACAATAGTTCCAACAAAATGGAAGCAGCAAATAAAAGTTGACGATCAGAAAAAAGAATTGAAGGATGTGGAGGAGAACTTGAATAGAAATATTAAAAAATGCCAAAGAGTATTGCAATACAGAGATAAGGAGTATTCATGCAAAGGTCAAAGGTTAAAGGGATGAGCAGAATTAACAATGAAACACCTGAAGATGATAAATTGCCACTGCATTACAGGCAGAACAAAAAGGTCCGTTTCACGAATCAGGTTCAACAAACTCTGAGTTAGATCATTGTCTCTGAGTTGATCTACTCTAAGCTTCTTGGTTTAACAAAGGCTGTTGTCAGTTAGTTCAATCAACTCTGAGTTTGTCCACCTAGAAGCAAGCGCATGTGTCACAAGTCACAAAAAGCCATTCTCAATGGAGCCCCAATTTGACGACTCACCACGACCACAGTAAGCGGAGTCCGCTTATTTCACCACAGTAGAACTAAAAACTTTAATGCAGGGGAATGGGGAGTTTGAATATGTTTTTGAAAGGAAGCGCAACAGCGCTACAGCTGCAAAAGAGAAGGAGAAGATTTATGCTGGAGTTAATGCGTAACTTTACGATAACATTACAGGTGAAAACCAGTTTTTCGGCCTTGTGAAAGTGTATATTGTAGCACACATGGGATGAAGAACAAAAACGTTGTTCAAACTGGTGCATCATCTAATTTGGATTCTATTTTACATTACACAGTAAATATGAGGTGGATTTCTGAAGGACAGGGTGCTGTTCTCCTTTAATGGACGCAATATTGTGATTATATCACAATTATATCACATGTTGGGAAATCCTAAAAGGAAACTAATCCAAGACTGAGGTATAATGTCATTAAGATAATATAATTTCAAAATAATCTAACAGATTTTTTTACCTACAATCCAGTTTAACTCCTGCTTGATGGCTTGGATGGGTTTATTCCCCAAAAACCTTTCAAAGGCAGGCACACCCTCCTTACTGCTCTGCACACTGTTGCCTCACTCAGAAATTCAGCATATCCCACGTTATATTAAAAAAAATTAAAAAATTGCAAAAATCCCCAGATCACTACAAACCTGGGGTCCATTTCATGAGGCACATTTTATAAAAACTCTGTTTGTTAACTGAGTTTCGGAGAAATGTTACTCAACCTCTGTGTCTGTTGTCGTACTACAGTCCCCCAAACAGTCGAACAGTCTCCCTAGAACTAATCTGGTTAGGATGAGGTTTTCCTCGATAAACTCAGTTTCCTCTGTCCCTGCCCTCTAAACCACTCAATGATAGATTTTTTTCCAAATATTAGGAATTTGTTTCATTTCCAGGGACTGTTTAAAAATATATTAAAACATCCTGCCAAGTTTCTTTGGCATAATTTTAAAAGTCTCCTTGAAATAAAATCTTTTTTATGAAATTTACTTTTCCCAAAAGTCTCTCCTAAAGTTGAAGCATTTCTTTGACTCTGAAGGTCACTGCACAAATTCTAAAATTGTAACTGCTTTGATAAGTTTACCCACTTTTTAAGTAATACAATTGTTTATTAAAGTTGAAGAATGTCTATCTTCCCATAGGAATACATTGAAGAATGTGTAAGGAGCAAACATTTTTATGATTTTTTATTTGTAATATCCATCCATCAATTATCAATACCGCTTATTCCCTGATGGGGTCGTGGGGGGAACTGGAGCCTATCCCAGTGGTCAACGGGCGAGAGGCAGGGTACACCCTGGACAGTCCACCAGTCCATCGCAGGGCCACACACAGGACATACAAGGACAAACAACCACTCACACACACATTCACTCCTAAGGGCAATTTCCCCAATCTCCAGTCAACCTAACATGCAGGTTTTTGGACTGTGGGAGGAAGCCGGAGAACCCGGAGAGAACCCACGCAGACACAGGGAGAACATGCAAACTCCACCCAGAAAGGTCCTGGTTCCCCCAGGATTCGAACCCAGAACCCTCTTGCTGGGAGGCGACAGTGCTAACCACCACACCACCGTGCCACCTATTCGTAATATCTTGATATATAATTGAACATTTCAAAGGGAAAAGTCAGTTGGTAATATTTAAATCCTTTGAAACCAGTTTAAAAGTTGAATGTTGTTTCTAGCTTAGAGTAACCTGAAGTAGTAATCCTATCTAAAGTAATGGAAGAACTCTCCATTTATTTCAAGACATCGAAAGTTCACAAAAAATGTAATAATTCAAAAAGAGTAAAAAGGTAAAAAGTAATCATTTGTATGATTCAGATTCAGAAGATCTGGACATCAGTGGAAGGGAAACAGCTGAAAATCCATTTGAGATACCCATGAAAGAAGACTGGATATTACACAGATTTTCAGACCATGAAATGGTAAATTAGTTAATATTTTAAATATTTTATGTTTTTCTCACATTCAGCAATGAATACGCTTTTTTAAATTTTATTTACAAGGTTATTGTAGTCTGTTATTTACATTTAATTTGCTACTTTCTTTGGAACTGAGATCACTTCAAATTGCAGCAAAGTGAAAACGTTGGCCATGAAAGGGTTAAGATACAGGCCCTGCCTCTGTGACACCCTCTGACACACAACTACTCTGTAGCTCTGCAGAAGGAACAGGATTCCCGACATCAGGCAGCTTTCAGCTACTAAGAATCCTTTTGCGGCATTAGTTGTGTTTTACTTTGCTTTATTAAGCTCCCCTCACAGAATTGTCAATGTCCATAAGCTCTGTCAACTGGACTGCAACTTCATCTGCTCTGTCACTGATTTTTCGGTTCACATACTGTTTTCCAGTCTGTGTTTGTTATTTTTAGGAAGTTGAAGTGCCAGCAAACGAGTGGATGAGTTCCTGGACAAATAACAGCATCAAGAAAACAAGCGGATTGACAATAGGAGCCGTGGTATGAAGAGGTAAGCATTTTGTAGAATCGAAGGATTCAAACAAAGGCAAATGAGTAACTGAGAGAGACAAAGTTTGCTCAACAAAGAAGGCCGCTTTGCTTGAGAGGTCAGAGAAGCCACAGCTGGCTACACAGCAAGAGCAAACCCCCCACCTCAATGGCATACCAGCTTTTTGAAGGGAAGGAACATGCTTCCATCTACCAAAAGAATCGTTTTACACCTCCAACTGAGCTGAAAAACATTATCATTCAGTACTTAGATAAAAAGGTAAGCTCTCCCTCAAAATAATGTGATTGGCCAAAACCAAATCTGCAAGCAATACTGACAGGCCTTCACATGCTTTCATACACAGAAAGGACAACCACATGAGCTTGCGGTGGATTTGGGATGTGGAACAGGTCAGAATACTCGACTGCTGGCACCACACTTCAAAGAAGTGGTTGGTATCGACATCAGTGAGTGTCAGCTAGAGGAGGCCAGAGCGCTATCAGGGTACCCCAACATCACGTACAGGTGAGCAGATCGAAGGGGTTGTGTATGTTAATGTAGTTTGTAAAAAAATATTTTGTAGATGAAATATTACTGCAAGGGCGGACTGTTGCCTCACAACAAGAGGGTTTTAGACCTCTCTGTGTTTGCATGTTCTCTCTGTCAGGGTTCCCCATTTTAGGTTAATTGAACATTTTAGGCAAGGCAAAGCAAGTTTATTTGTATAGCACATTTTGTGTACAAGACAATTCAAAATGCTTAAAGAATGAAAATGAATCAACAAAATAAATTAGACAGATAAAAAGTGAAGGGTGCAGATAAAAATACATTCAATTTCAGTTAAACAGAACCGTTTTCAGCCTGGATTTAAATATTGTCAGAGTTGGGGCCTGTCTCACCTCTTCAGGAAGACTGTTCCAGATTTCAGGAGCATGGAACTGAAATGAAGCTTTACCTTGTTTAGTTCCTACTCTGGGCACCACCAAGAGACCAGAACTTGAGGTTATCAGAGTCCAAGCTGGTTTATTTAGCTTCATATGGTCAGAAATGTATTTCGGTGCCAGAGCATGAAGAGACTTGTACACAAGCAGAACTGTTTTAAAGTGTATTCTCTTGGTGACAGGAAGCCAGTGCAGAGACCTGAGCACTGGACTGATATGGTCGTATTTCCTGGTACTGGTCCGAACTCTAGCAGCAGCATTCTGGATGTTCTGCAACTGGCTCACATCTCATTTAGAGAGCCCAGTGAGAATGCCGTAACAGTTGTCTAACCTGCTAGAGACAAACGCATGGATTAGTCTTTTTAGGTCTGGTTTAGACACTATTCCTCTAATTCTGACCACGTTTTTGAGATGGTAAAAGGCTGCTGATGTTATTGTTTTAATGTGGCTGTTGGTGTTCAGTTCTATTTCCAGTTTTACCCCAAGATTCTTGATCTGATTTTTAGGTTCCAGAGAGTATGTCTGATGACTAATGACCTTTTCTCTTTGTGGGCCACAGACAATGATTTCTTTTTTTTGGGGGGGGGGGTTTAACTGGAGAAAATTGTTCTACATCCATGAACTGATCTGTTCAACACAACAACAAAATAAATCAACAGACCCGTGTTCTTCTGCTATCAGAGACACATAGATCTGAGTGTCATCTGCATAGCTGTGGTAGGACAGATTATGGCTGCGTGTTAGCTTTCCCAATGGAAGCATGTACAGATTGAACAAAAAGGGTCCCAGGATTGAACCCTGGGGAACCCCACAGGTCAGACCAATTCGGTCTTAGACACAGTTCCCAATTTCATCAAAGTAACACCTGTCCTCGAGGTAGGACTTGAACCCCTTTAACATTGTATCAGAGATTCCCACCCAGTCTTCTAACCTCTGTAATAAAATCCCATGGTCCACTGTGTCAAAGGCAGCGCTCAGGTCTAGCAGAACTAGGACCGAGACTTTGCCTGTGGATGTCGTTGGTCACCTTGATTCGAGCTGTCTCAGTGCTGTGGTGGGGCCTAAAGCCTGACTGGAAGTCATCAAACACATTGTTAAACAGAAGAAAGTCAGTCAGCTGTCAATATACAACTTTTTCCAGGACTTTTCCTAAGAATGGCAGGTTTGGTATGGGCCAGTAGTTGTACTACGCCAGTACTGCGGCATTGAGACTGCTTTTTTTCATAAGAGGCCTAATGACAGCAGTTTTTAAGGCCTTTGGAAGTGTTCCCGTCTGAAGTGAGATGTTGACTAGATGAGCGAGTTGTGGAAACAAACTGCTCAGCAGACTTTGGGATTCGAGTGCGTAACTCATCCAGGCAGGAGGTGGATGGACTCAGGCTGCATATGATCTCCTCGATTGTTTTGTTAGTGACAGGTGTAAACTGTGTCAGCTGTAGACGTTTAACTGGGGGCAGAGCAGCTATTTTTAATGCAGTAGTAATAACTACGATTGCGTGTTATTGTTTGTCTCTGTGTGGCCCTGTGAGCATGACCTGTCCACGGTGTGCCTTGCATCTCACCCAATGTCAGCTGGTATTTACTCCAGCATTTTTTTCTACTAAACTATTTGCAAATGTAGACATTGTGTGGTATCTGATTTTTGCTGATGGATAGAATATTATATGTAGGACTGAAATACATGAGGACAAATATGAATGGTAAAGGTCATGGATTCTCCCTTCCTTGCACCCAGTGACTGGTATTGAAGTTAGAAGTGCACAGTTGTTACAATGACTCCTCAAATGATTAAGCTTTCCTGTGCGGCAAACTCATTCAGTTTAGGGTTAGTATTAACCCTGACAATAAGTGTTTTGTACTATTTACCTGAAAGCTGTTGGCTAAACCTTGCTGAGTTTAGAATGGTCTGTATGACAGCAGGGGAAGACCAAACAAAGCTGAGAGGTTCGGGAGTGACAGTAGTATTGTATGCTCTGCTAAGAAATTTGAAGATTTCAGACCAGAATGTGGCAAGCCTCGGACAGAACAAAACATGTGGGAGTGGTCAGCTGTAGATGTTTACACCTATTACACAAATCAGTTATATAAGGGTAGATTCAGGACAGTCTCAGATTGTTGTAGTGGGCTCTTGTGTACAATTTTAAACCTCTTATTAATATCAGTTGGGTCTGAGGTAACTTTGCTTGAAATGAATCTGATCCTTGGGATCAACCTGGATTGTGTGGCCACTCGCGCCTAGTATTCTAATAATCTCCCTGCTTTATCCTCAGTCTCAAAGAAGCGTTGTTTCGTCAGAAATAACTTTTTCTGTGTTTTACTCGTGGAGAATAGAAATTTGGACTGAAGCAGAAGATGTTCTTTATAAAGAACAGGGGAGGGAGCAAACGCAGGTCTTATCCTTTTTCGCTGCCCTCAGGAATGCTGATTTTCCAAGGGTTAACTCTTCGCTACCTCTTATTCTCTTCATTGTCATGGTCTTTTGTGTCACATGCTCAAAGTTGTCCCCGGCTAGAGTCTCTGCTGTTGTGAGGTGACCATTAAAGTGGTTCACCGTCTCACATAGTGAATCTATGTAGCGGTTTAATAGACTCCTGGATCAATGTTAATATGTTGTTCCAAAGCGAGGCTTGTTGTTTCTCCAGTTCAGAAACCAGCTGAAGCCAGTCATTTCATGGCTGGGTAAAAACTAAGTTTACAATCTGTTGCCTTTCAAAACAAAACAACGATGTTGTTTATAGGAATGGATTAACAGTTTATCCGGGAGACCTCTTTCGAGCGGCTATCACCTACATCGTCCCCACGGAAAGTCTCCAAACAAAATTCTTTACAACTTTTAGCTGAAGAATAGCTGTGCTTTTTGGCTTACTCTGAATTTTTTTTTTTTTTAAACAGGCAATAATAATAATAATAGTTTCATTTCCTTTGCATCCTATATGTTTTTGTAAAAACACCAGTAATTAATTAATCAAATCGTTGATGCACCATTGAGTAATTTCTATAGTTACTTCATTTAAAAAGGCAATTTACACTGATAAAATGAAAACATCTGACAATTGAGACATGTCATATAAAATTGATATAAGATGTATATACTTGTGGTAAATGTTAGGTCCAGAAATTTAACCAGGGAAAAAGCTGAATCTCTTAATCCAAAAATAATATTTATTGAATAACAAGAAAAAAAGACAAAAAAATCACTGCTCCGAAGAGCAGGGTAAAAATAAAAGGACAGAGGTTCTTGGAAAAAGAAAAAGTTTAACGCACAATGAAAAAAAATCACTGTTTAAAAACCCGAGAAAGTACAAAAAAGAAAAGACAATGGTGATCAGAAAACATACAGGACAAGAAGTAAATGTCAATGGCCTAATTTTGGAAATTTTCAACAGGCTTTACAATGGGAAGTTTGCAGGTAGAGTGAGTTCAAGGCCAGATGACTGGACCTATAAACAATTTTTCTATCAAACAGACTTAGACTGAACTCCTGTGGCAATTTAAAATGTTCAACAGCATAGGACAAACAATATGATTTTTTTTCTTAGAATTGTGTACATTTGCTGTGGGTCTTGCATGTTTACCAGGTAGTAATCAGTTACTGGTGAACCTAAATAGTCTGGAGAGAATTGCCCTAAGGTGTGTGCTATGAAGTCACACCTATCAAGTTGCCTTCAGGCTCAGCCTGAAAACCTGGACAAAATAATAACACAGAAAGGTTAGGACCTAACAGAACACCTGTCGCTGTAAATAAAACTAAGCAAACTTGGAACAAGGGGGGACAGCAGTGATGAAGATCTGTTGCTGAATAACAGAAAACCTCATGCTAAGAATTGGGCAATGCACACGCAGGTGAAAGATTACTGATTGATGCCTCCTGTAATGATTGCCAAGATCTGCAAGCGTTGATTGACACTAGCATTGTGAATCAGTCACTGAAAGCAATCTGGTAAGAGCTTAGTGAGTTTGAATAGTTCTAACAAAGAAATAAGGTACAGGAAATGCTATACTGTATGTCACCTGAAGACAAACATTATTGAAGGTATTAAATTACAGTGTTTTAGGTTGTGAAGCTTTTATTGTCTGTCAATAATTAATCTCAGATCTCAAAATACATTTAAACCTGAAAACGCTGCTCTAAAAATGTTTTCACTGAAGACATTTTCGTATTATTATTTTGTTTTAGGAATTTTTAAATAATGTTAGGATATCACTTACATTATGAAATGAAAAATGGAGGAGTTCAACTACAGCTGAACTCTGGATCAAAGTTGCAACTCCATATCTGATCTTTTTGTTTTCAGTAAGGGGACAGCGGAGAAGCTTCCGTTTCCAGATGGCTCTGTAGATTTACTTACAGCAGCTTCAGCTGCCCACTGGTTTGATCAGTCCAAGTTTCTGGCCGAAGCAGATCGGGTGTTGAAGCCTGGGGGCTGCATGGCTCTGCTGGGGTTCATTGACACAAACGCCTATTTCATCTACAAGGACTGTGGAGAACGACTTAACCACATCTATCAAGAGGTAGGACTGTCTGAAAGCCTGCAGATTGCTGTTAGTTCCAATTATACCTTCCAGTTATTGGTACTGATAGAATTTACTAAAGCACTACCGCAAAAATGTCTAATTGTTGTGCGTCAAGCAAATTTCTGGCCAGATTTCTGGCTGATGCATCTTACTCAATCCTTGTAACTGTTAACGTAGATGGTTACTCCCCTCTTCAGTTCTGATATAGACAGACCCTTTCCAAAAAAAACATATGTTTCTTCTACTGGACTAAACTTCTTTCTAATTCCTCTTTTCTATTTTTTTTTTTAATTAATCCCGTTGATACCGGGAATCTTTTAATTATTTTCCTCCCTACTATATTTCTCAGATTCTACAATTCTACAATTAAACTCTTTCCAACCTTCTACAGCCTTATCTTTATCATTTCCCTCTCCATTCACATCACATGTCCCTCTGTGTCCCTCTCCCCACAGTTACATTGCCCACTTTGATGTCTTCCAATTTCCAATCACAAACCATGTGATTGAATAATCTGGCCCAGAGTGGTGGTGTATATAGCAAAGAGAAGAGGTCCCAGTACTGAACCTTGACGAAGCACACTGCAGAAGTGTGGCTAAGCCAGGGTATTTTGAATGATTGACTAGTGAGGTATGATTCAAACCAGGTGTGTGCTGTCCCTCTGATGCCCATGGTAGAGAGTATAGGCAGAATGATGTAATGATTGATTGTGGTCAAACAGGATAAGTACTGTGGACATCGCGGCTGCTCTCGCCTCTCTTCAGGCTTCTGTCAGAGACAACAGAGCCCTGTCAGTGGATTAGCCACTTGTTAAACCCAGATTGGTTTGTATCAATTCCACTTCATATACACTTAAGATATCTGACGTTCTTCTTGAAATTGTCCTAATATAAATTGGAAACATCCTTGCTGCTGCTGTAGCTCCTTTAGCTTGTTCTGACATATTTTTCATAGTTTATCCCTACATAGAGACCAGATCCACTTTTTTGTTTCCACATATTTGAGTTTACATTTGTTTTTTGAAACATCCATTTTGGTATCGTTGTCCATTGAACGGTTGTACTGAATTCCAAATGTTGTATTTTTAGTTGTTCTGCCAAACCTTCATTGAGCCACCCAAAATGAAAGCTGTTTACTCTTTATAAGTTATTTCCAAACTAATTCAACTTTTTATATTTTCACTGATTTTCTTTTGAGAAGAACATTACTTTTCTCAACTGAAAATTTCAAACCCCACTTTCTCCCAGTTTCTCCACTTGATCTAGTCCTGTCACTTGGGAACGTGAACATGAATCCTAAGAGGAAAGCACGAATTACAAAATCAAAATCACTCTCGAGAGGAAAAACAAATTACGAGACAAACTAGAAGCAAGAAACCTGGAACTTCATGTGGACCAAACGCTTGGTTGTCCAAGTCAGGGACAAGACGAACTAGCACAGGACAAAGGAAAATGTAGACTGCATATACAGGGACACATACCACAACTGTCAGGCTCAGGAACTCAGCGAGGACTCAGGAGCAGAGCTGGTTTCAAAATCCAAAGTTTATTAACAAAAAGCGCACTCAAAAGGAGTGGACAAAAAGACAAACACAAAACGCTCCAATAACAGAGGGCAAAGTACCAACTGAAAGAGGCTCTCGAACGAGGCTAAAGAGAAAAGTAACAAAACATTACTGATGAAAGTAACAACGTAAATCTCTCACGAGGAGGCAAAGACTGAAACAAAGTAGCAACAAAATACTCACTAGAGGAAGAACGTCTAGGAGGCAAAACGAAAAGGCACTCTTAAAGAGGCAAAAACGCAGGAGGCTCAAAAGGCAAAGAACGGGAACTATGAAAGGTTTCTATGACTAGGGAACTGTGGACAAGACAGGCACTGTGGTTGGGAACGAAACACACTGGCACGGGACAAAGGGAGACAAGGACTATTTAACCACATGAGGGAAGGAATCCCCAGGTGCAGACAATAGGTAATCAGGGAGACGCTCAGACTGGTGACACAACAGGAAGTGCAAGTGACCTGAAACGAGATGAGGGTTATTCTTCAAAATAAAACAGGAAATGACGAGACTAGAAAAAGACGAGACGAAAACCCCTCAACCAGGACACCTTCGTGACAACAACTGGGATGGGGAAAAGGTAATACAGACAATCAGACACAAGAGGAAGGGTAACTGTCCTGAAACAAGAGGGAGGATCCCAGCAAACACGTCCAGGTGGGGCCCATATGGGCCTCACTTGGGCTACTTGGGCTTAAGCTGGGCATGGGCTCTGTTGTTCGGACCCACATGGGCAACCCATATGGGCAGTAGATGGGCTAAACCAAGCATGGGCAATAAGTAGGAAATAGGTGGGCTTATCCACTAGGCAAGGTCTCCTTTTTAATGTTATTTTATGTCTTAATTTTTTTAAAGTAAAAGTCTTTAAATGCACATTAACATGAATCCAACCTATTATAGAGATTGGATAAATGATGGTGACATCATTCGTTAAGTGTTTCCCATCAGCACTCATCTGTGGGGAGTTTAAGGGGAGCCTGCTGCCAGTACTTCTCTGCCTGAGTGTTAGCCAACAGTGGAACTCAGCTTTCTGGATACTGTTACCATTTATCTCCTGGTTCTTTGATCACCTGCAAGCCTTCAAGTTACTCACATGGTTCTCAGTACTGGCTGGCAGTGCCAGTTACTCCTCCTTTAAGCCTGCCTGTAGTTGAACCAATGCTCACCCTCCAGTTTGCCACTTCCTGTATTCTTCCAGTTCACCAAAGTCTCTGTGCCGAACTCACCTCCGTTCTGGATCCTCTGGTTCAGGTACCTTTGTTGTGTGGACTGAAATCTATGACCCCACTTGTTCCTCTCTGATGGTTCTCATCACTCCGTCTTCTTGGATCCTTGGCTTCCATCTTCACTCCTTTCTCAATAAACTCTTTAAAACTTATTCTGTGTTTTCAGCATGTGGGTCGAGCTGCAGCTAAAACCATGACAGAATACTAAGACCAATTTGACCCAGCACATACTCAGGAAAGCACTTTCAAATCAGCAAAAACAACACAAAACCCATGAGTAAACTTTCCAAGCAGTCCTGGATCAGCAACGAAACACTCACAACAATGATGTGATGAGCAAAAACCTTGAACGAACTAATTTCCCTTACAACTAAAATAAACAACAGAATTTGAGAGAGAAACAGGTCAAAATTAGAGAGATCTGTGGTAAGACCTCCATCCTCTTCAGTCACATTTACTTCTCTACAGTCTTCTCCAAGTTCATCCAGTTCAGAACCCGAGCCTATGCAGATGGACGGACTCATCTAACTCCTGAACAAAGGCAATGCAGCAGAGATTCTAATTAGTATATTTACTGTGGCTGTGGCACTAGTCGTAATGGGGAGATTAGTGGCCCGACTAGCCTTAAACACCCCCCCCCCCCATTTCACCTTACCTGCTGTGCTCCACTTCAACAACAATGAACTTGATCTTTCACCATTAATCAATTCGGGTGCGAACAAAACCTGATCTATCAGCACCCAATATCTCAGGCCAAGATTGAGGCTGTACAACTCTTTACACCACTAGTTGTACCTTTAGATGGAAGGGTGCTAAACAGAGTACACACTGGACCAAACCTATGGAATTAATAATTTCAGGTTATCACAGAGAACTCATCACTTTCTGCGTTTTTCCTATTTATCAGTCACATTTTGTTTTGGGATTCAACTGGCTGCAACTACATAACTAGCACTTAAATTGGTCTGAGCCCTGATAAACTTGTGGTCCACTACCTACCTCTTCTCCTGTCTTCAGTAAGTCCAAGCCTGCCCCCGGTGTCTTCTGTCAAGGTGGATTCCATTGACCTCTCATTGGTTCCTGAAGAATATCGCACATTAAAGCAAGTATTAAGTTAAAGTAAATCTCTGTCTTAACCACCTCATCGACCATACGACTACCACAGATCTACTTTATCCCCATTACCATCTATTAGACTGTACAATATATCCCGTCCTGAACGACGAGCTATGGAAACCTACATTATTGAATCACTTGCCGCTGGAATAATTCATCATTCCTCATCATTGCTTGGGGCAGGCTTTTTCTTTGGAGTGATATACATGGATCCCCCCGTCCTTGTTTTGATTATAGAGCTCTAAATCATCCACGCCTGAAGCCTCCAACACAGGAGTAGCATCAGTACTATCTCAATGTTCTGATTTTGATGGAAAGCTTCACCCTTGTGCCTAAATTGGTTCTAGAGGAAGGCCCTGCCCAGTCTCCAGAAACATCCCCAGGGTGCAAATGAATATAAGAACTAATAGAATTTTGGACCAGCTTATTACTTTTTTAATTAAAAATGATTTAAATCAACTCTCATTTTCATTCCTTACCAGGTCAGAACACTTCCACACCTTTTTGCTTGATCCCAGTGTGGTACTCTAAAACCAAAGCTGCCAGCTCTATCTCCCAAGACCTTGGTGGTTTTAAGGCTGGACGCTATCAGTCCAGGCTGGCCAAAGTACTGCATGGTTCCGGTCAGGAAAAAACAGTTGTGGGATCCTGTTCATGACACCATGTTGTTGTGGATTTCTCTATTAAGGGCATTAGTCCGTCTGAAAAAGGAATAGAAAAATAATTACTTAAAATGAAGTGAGGGCGACGCAGCACAACTGCACGTGAATTGTATAATGTACTGTATCAAACTGCGCTGCCTGTACAGAAATTTGCATTGCTATTTATTAGCCCCAAAAGCTGATTACCAAGGCCTAATCTTCCTTAACCAGTGAACAGTGAATGCTAATCACTTCAAGGGTACATGTGTCATATCAAATCATATCTTAACAATTTGCTCCTGTATCTGTTAGGACAGTAAACAGTAGGTGCTGTGAGAGTACGTGAGTCATATTACGTGAGTACGTGAGTTAAGGTAATGATTATTTCCTATGGTCCCTTTTTGGTAGACATTCCATTCACACATTAAATTATTTGATGTGATCTTCATTTCTTTTTTTTCTGTAAAACATATAAGTAAATGGGAATTTCTTCACATTATACAAATCTTTTGAAATGATGTAACAATAGACAAATACTTGCAATCATTTAACCCTGTTGTGCCAAATCTCATGTTTGATACGTACGTTTTCTGAAATGTTTTGCGTCTGACACCTTTTGCATAATTTAATGGTAAAAACTTTGCTCAAAATCCTATTGTACACAATCAGATATAGCTTTTAACAGGGCACAGAAGACTACATGAAAAATAATCTTGACTTATCGCATAGTAATAAATTATTAATATAAAAAATGTATATCTGTTTTTTCTTTTTACATATTTTGTTAAAAGGCCACATAAAGACTTCAAACCAAAAAACTGTACTTTTCTGTTTTGTTTTATTCTTGGATCGGGCTTTAAAGGGTTAAATGGTAGACCCTAGATCTATGATATATGAAAGTTTAACATTTTGAATGGAATTACAGAAATTAAACTTTTCCACACTATACTTTTTTTGGAACATCTGTATATGCAATGATTGAACATTTCCTACAACAAGTATTACAATTTCTTAATAATTTATTAACATTTAACAAACAAAAATAATTAAAAACTAGGAAAACAAAAGACCTGCCCAAAGACGATAAAAATCCAGAAGCCATGACCTTTTTTTTTTTCTATATTATTTATAAATAATCTACTGAATGTAGAGGCATAGAGACACCCTCTTGTCTCAGTATATGCATATTGATACCAAACTTTCATGGCAATTTCCATTTTGAGATTAATTTACAGAAGATGTTTGAGCACTACCACCCTTTTTTCAGTTCTTCTTATAAATCTAATTATATCTATGTAATATAAGAAATCAGCTTGGTACTGTTAGAATTGGGTTTCCCACTTTAGCATAGTATGTAAGAGAAGTGATCGTCTTATTACTTTTGAACTATACACTGGTGTTAAACTCTCTGGGTGTGCCCACAGATTCTCTTTCTCTCTTTCTTGCAGTAGATAAGTGTCTTTGAGGTCAACATCCACACACACACTTTCTTATCACATTCCAATGAAATCTGCATGAATTAGGAGCTGGCCTGTTCATGTCAGAGGTAACTGGCCGATAACACTCGGTTGTGTCCAGTCCTCATTTTGTAAAGGGGCAGTCCCAGCCCAGAATATAGATATCCATCACACCCGGATTTCAGGGCTCTTGCCAATCGAGATCCTCAGTGAACTTTGTCTGTGAGAGTCCAGAGATGATTACTTTACCTGTGACCAATAAATGTCATATTTGTACTCTTGATCTACTCTGGTTTATTCTCAGGCGGAAGAAAACTTTTTATATCAACTCACTTTCAGGTGAAGCAGGTGCTGTTGCCATATACAAGCAATCCAGTTGCAGTATCTGAGAGTAAGCTGGAAGATTTGTACTCTGCCATCCCATTTCCAGACAAAGAGAGGTAACAGTGTTGAAAAAATCAAACTGCTGTTAAATGTCTAAACACAAATATTTACAATGTATTTGAATATTCCTTTGTTAATAAAAAGTAGATTTGTTTGTATTCATTCACTGCTTACATTTCTGAGCAGGATCACCTATCGGTTAAAAAGTCAGTCATAGAGTTCATTAACAAAATTTGAAAAAGAATTGTTGTTTTTTTTTCTTCACCAAATGCAGTCACCATGGCTATTTTATTTTATTCTAATATATTTTTTCGTATTTAACAGGATTGAGAGTTTTCCAGATAAATCTATCATCACTGTGAAGAATTTGGTTGGTTTCATTAGTAGCTGGTCCATGTTCCAAACATTCAAATTGAAAGACCCCCAGGGTGCTGAGGACCTCCTGATCAACACTCAGAAGAGGTCATCTACACACACCTGCACATGCATACTCATACATTAAAGTACTGTTGAGACCACATCGACAGGTCTGGCATTATGAACTAACATTTACTTTTCAGACAAAGGTTTTTGAGCTGTAAATTCTCTTTTTGTGAATAATTATTCCTGTCTTGACAGGTTTCTGGATGAGATGGATGTCAACTCTCCTGACACTGAAATACAACGGGAGTGGGAATATTTTTGTGTTTTGGCATCTAAACCACATTAACACAGTGATGAAGATTATAGGCGCTTAGAGACTGACTCTGACTCAAACATTTTGAAACTATAAAATTCTGAAGAATCCTAAAGCATCAATAGTTTGTCTGTTGAATGAGGACATTTTAGAATTAAATGATTTTTATCTTTGTAAATGTTTGATTTTATGTATTAAGCTTTCATAAAGAGCAAGTTTCCTCTCATTAAGCTTTCTAATATACCAGACAATTAATTGAGTTCAAGATGTTACATGATTGCAAAGACAAATGGAACTGATCTTATCAGTTTCCCTTGACTCTGAGATAAGAGTGAGCTTTTATAATTATCACTCAGATCAGGTGTATTATTAGCAGCAACACTTACTTTAACAGATGTTCATTATGAGTTTATTTTTCTGTAAATACTTACTGTAATGTAATTATCACTATTGATAGCTTCATGGTTACAATTATTCAATTACATGAAGGATTAGTTTAGATAACAAATGAATACAAAAGGAAATTAATTACATGTAAATCCAGTGTCAAATGATCTTTGAAAATATCAAATAGAAAACAGTGCTTAGGGTTTTTTTTGTGTTCGGTCATAATCATAATCTGTGCTGTTCAAGTGTTTTAGGTCCAACACAGTTGGAGCTGGAAAACATAAGAGGAATGATTCTTCCAAATGCTTTCAAGTTATGAGAGTCACATTATGTACCCAACTGGTCAAACATTGTTACTTTCAGTGGAAATAAAACAAGTTATATTCTGTCTGTCAGCCTGTGTCTGTCTGTCTGTCTGTCTGTCTGTCTGTCTGTCTGTCTGTCTGT